TTGTCTCTTAGCAGTGAACCTTGCAAATATATATTTGTATATATATATATATATTAGAACCGGGTGAGTTGGGTATGCAGGCGTCTGCAGCTCCAGCTACCTTAAACTTCTAAGGCTTCTAAGGCTCGGCACATCGAAAACGGGAAGGGTTGGTTAAACCTCGCCCCTTGCAACCTTAACCCCAGAAAGCACATGCTCCCTACAGGGAAGAAGGAGAAAACTGCCTCCAGGCTCGATTCATTAACAACCTCGCCACGAACCCTCATCCAGTGATACATTACGACGCCCCCGTCCTCTCCTCCACAAGCCCAAAAGCATATACTGGGACCAAATCTTACTGGCTAGTTCGAGAAAAAGCCTTCTGAACAGTGCTCCATGTCGGTCGAAACGATTCAGTTGATGCTCAGGGGACCTCTTCTCGGCAGGAAACGGATTCCACAATTTCCACTTAAGGTCAGCAGAAATGCCTCTGCTCAATTCTTGAGGTGGTCTCCATGCCCTAGACCTTGTCTCAGGTCCTAACCCCCGAACCCATAAGAAGACCCTTCTAGCAACCCTCAGCAAATCCACAGCCGGAAACTATCGAAACTTTAGGACTTAAGGTGTGGGGCTTTAGGGTTTCTAGTCTGAGGATCAGGGGCTGAATCTTTGCCAGGAATCCGCGGATTTTCCCTCGCTGCGACACTCCAAGAGTTGTCGGTAGTAGGCCACGGCCTTCCCAAATGCCAAACAAAGACATCTTCAACATGCCTAGATGAAGGGCCCGTTACACCCAACATCCCCAAAGTAATATTCATTCAGGGGCCCCTTAAACCCAACATCCCCAAATTAATGAGCAATAAGGGCCCCTTAAACCCAACATCCCTAAATCACGGGCCCCTTTAAACGAGCATGCCGGCGAGTTCAATGCAAGGCTCTTGAGCTTTTTCCTGGGAGTTGGGGGTTATGGGGGTATGGGTTGAGGGTTTAGGGTCATGAGTTGAGGGTTTAGCAGCTTACTTATCAGGCTTCAGGGCATTATGTTACAGGCGGAACCGAACCTGTTTGAGGCGTTCGCCACACCTGACAGAAGAGAGTGGTTTGCACAAGTCGTTTGTGTCATTTTGGAGCCTGAAACATAGGTAAGGAAAGCCTCCTTAAATTGTCATACGCATCCTTAACCCAGGACACTTCCACTGGCATCTCCCATTATAAGCCGCGGGTGACAGTCGAGAACAGGGGCCCTGAATAATTATGATGAGGTTTGGAAGGATATATTCTTAGAGTATACTGACATTTCGGCGGTGAGGCCACGTGATTACCCAAACCCTAAACCCTAAACCCTTCTATCAGACTTCACTGCAACGCAAATGGGGTTCCCGGGTATCGAAATCCTAGGAGCGCAGACCCGGGTTCAGGGTTCACCAGTAGCCCCCAACACTACCAAATAACGGCTTATGCCCCGCTTGATTATATGGTGTCACCCTTGTGCCCTAAACCCCGAACTCCTGAAACAGTAGGGTTTATGGGATCCCAACCATGGTAAGGTCTGTAGGGCGGCGTGAGTTAACGCTTCCAAGTGTGCTTTTGATTTTTTTGCTCGACGACCGACGTTTATCCCTATCGGGCAGAACCTAGAGCCCAAAACCATACAACAAACCACGCAAGAATAATCCCATAGTCAACAGCAACATGGGTAGTTCTCTAAATTCGCCTCGGCCCCGGCCGAAGCGGTCAGAGGTTCCCACAAGGATTCCCTGTTTCCACACCTCTTAATCCACTTATGAAGCCCATCCCCGCTTGGCCCCCCCTAGCCCGCCCGGCCCTTCCAAGTCCAGGACCTGCCCTGCCCCGCCACGCCCTGCCCTGCCCTTCCCTGACTCTGCCCCTGCCCTGCCCCTGAGAAGTAATCGTGAAAACCATGAAATGAGTTCTGAGCTAAACTCCAAGAAGGAATGGGTATGTTTGCCGGTTTGGCCGCCACACGGCGTGGGGTGGGAAACATAAGAGAAAAGCCTTCCACTATCGGGCTCCAGCGGTCAATCGCCATACTACGATGCACTCGAATTTCCAATGTCGCAAGAAAATTCCGCCTTTGTGCCAGTCTACAGCAAACCCTAAACTTTAAACCGCCGAAACCGGAGCTGACCATTTAATTGGGCGCTCAAGGCTCCGCCCGAGGCCCCCGACAGAAATGACTCGTCGATGCTTCACACGTCACCATTCAAGTCATTTGTGCTTTTATGGTGTGGTTTGGGGGGCTTCAGGCTGGCAGATTCCCGGGATCCTGGGCCGGTGCTGGCAGGAACCTCTCGGGCTTGGGTGGTATTGTATGGTGGGCTTGCAGGAGCGATATTTTTTCCAGGATAGGTGATTGCACTTCGAGCAACCTTTACAGGGTGCGAGTGGCTTGTTTGTTGGAAACCTTTGCTTCTCGGCGAGCGGCCGGCGCAGGCCGCCAGGACCGACAACCCGACACCAATCCATCTCAGAGGTGGCTTGCCGTGAAATGTGGTCGTTTATGTCGAACTGCGCAAGAAAGCCCTCCATTTGGGGGGTGAACCCTAAACCCTAATTGGGAATAGTTGGGGTGGTTGGGGCGGGACTACACGCTGACGCAAGCGCGCGATAAGTGGGTGCGCCCTTATTCCTACAGCAAATGGTGCTCCTACCACGCAAAGTGTATACACACCCCTGAAGCCGAACCCTAAACCCGACCACCCAACCAGCCGATCAGCCGACTCCCCAGTCCCCTTTAACATATGGGGTTGTAGTGAGAAGTGTAATTCGATTTGTAGAGTAACGTCTATAGTATCTAGGATAATTCAGCAAGAAAACAAGTAATGAATTAAAAACACATTCTGAAGCAAATGCACTCCTTCACGCACGACCTCACCCGCGTGACCTACCTGTTGCTTTCCGAAACAATGCACCTGCTTCAAGTACAGCCGGGCCGAGGCGGATGGCGCGCAGCGGAGCTGACTGCCCTGGGGCCGGTGGTTTACAGTAGTTTTTACGTTGTTGTTGCGTTGTTTTACATATAAATACCGTAGAAGAACAGTAGGGCCTGAGTCTTGCACTGCATTGTGTTTTATTGTACAAGTCTAAACATCGTGTAGAAGATCGGCGACCATATTGACATAAGTTGATAATACGGTGATACATGATTTGGAAGATGCAGATACAGATGCATATGGATGACGAAGTTGTTTCTAAGAGATTGCAAGGAAGCCTGAAGACAGGTTTGTTTTGCACCGTGCGCCCCACGCCGATGGCAACTTGTAATGCACTGTGCACCCGTGTCTACTTTCCAGATGGCTTCTTGAGCACTTTCCGGGGGGCAGGAGTAGGAGACGGAGCGCCTCTCGCCCTTGTGGGGATACTCGGACAAGCAAGAAGGATCCATCCTTCTGCATGGCAGTGTTGTGCAGCTTGCAGAAGTAGAGAACTTTGAAAGAGTGCCGCATGGCAGTTGTCTCATTCAACACCCTGGCATAGTTTCTAAACCACGCAAACACCTGCTCTGCAGCAGAGGTGCTGATCCCTTTAAAGCATCTGGCGAGACGAGGGATGTGGTGTGGATTGCATGGACGGGAAGCATTATGTCCGTGGGCGTGAAAGAAATCAACCGACCAATATTTGATCTGCTTGAACTTTGCCTGTGACTTGGCACGAAGCAGGAACGAGCATACCCGGTCAATGATCACTCCGTTCATGTTCTTGTACTTCGGAAGGGTGCGGGTGAGGACGTCGTCCACAACATCATTTCCCCCTGGTTTCTTGAGGCAGGACACAGCTAAGATCCGCTGCGTACCCGGATGAACAGCCATGAACCATCTGTACCCATAAGGCTTCTTCTTTCCATTTGCACGGTGCTTGCCTGGATGTTGCTTGTCGCCGGGACACTTGATGTGGACCTCGGCATTGCCGTCCATGACGACCTCGTATATGTTGTTCTTTTGGGAGGGAAGATCTTCTCGTGAATGAACTCATCATATGTTTGCAAGGACGAAGGACAGAGCTCCTGACCGATGAGGAAGTTCATTGGGATATCTGCAGCCGGGAACTCATCCAAGGCCAAGTAGTACATAACTGCTGCAGCATGCATGCCGCGGAAATGGCCGCCATCCCCAGTGTGGCTGGAGTATACTTGAGAGTATACATCGAGATAGGCCTTTATAGAAGTGAACGCACGGAACTCCAGCAGGGAATGATAGTGAAGGTATTTGAGGGTGAAACCGAGCTTCACATTCAAGAAGATGGCTTCAGGAGCGTCTGCGATGGACTGGAGAGTGTTCAATTTGCCCTCACCTTCTGTAACGAAGTTTGGACCGAAAGTCCCTCCGCAGGTAAATGAAGTACATCGCATGCTTTGTACCTGAACTTCCCGAGGGCCGCCCATGTCATACAGAATGGCGTCAATCGCATGTCCATCTGAAAGCTTCCCTCCACACAGGCATCGACGTAGATGAGAGTGGAAGACCTGAGCATCACCGCTCGACGAAGTCCCCGATGCCGCTGGGCGTTTGAAAGGCATCGCACCAAGGTCTGCAGTTTAATGTATAGACTACCTACACTGCTTGCCCTATTCCTTGAGTTGACACCGGGCGGGAGTATGTGCAAGCGCGTCCCTGGGGCATATGTTGTCAGGCAAGTCAATGAGTCTGGGGTGTTCAGAGTTCATGATCACACGGACTTGTTGCTGTTGGGCAAGGGTAACATCATCAACAACCTCGAAGAACTCCTTGAACTTCTTGCCTTTGCCACCAGGTACGTCTATGAGTGGAAGGTCGGGAATACCGTGCTGGCCATTCCGGTCTTGGAGTATTTGGGTGTTCCCGAGAAAACGACAAAAGTACCTTGGGAGGCCAAGATGCATTCCTGCTTGCTTCCGGACTATGCGACCTAAGCAAGGGCTGGCTTGTGATGAGAGAGGACAGCTGCGGATAAGGACAAATGAAAGTGTTTTACATGGTGCTGTGCATGCTCTGTCAGTGCAGCGAAATAGCTTGTAGTGCAAGACAGATGGACAAAGTACTTGTGTAGGTCAAGCCTAGCCTAGCCGAACTGGTTGTTTATAAACACGGCGGCTGCTTATAAACAGGCCCGTTCTTTCTATGCACATGTTTACAACATGTTTGCAGTGCTGAAGTAGGCCTCCGGTGCAACAATCACCCACAACAGCAGTCTGCGAAGCAAAGCGCATCATCACTCAGCTTTCTATACTCACTTTGTGCAAAGTTCCGGCGTCCTTCCTTTCAGGAAGCTCAAGTCGCACACGATCCCACTGGGCTTGGGCCGCAATGATATTCTTAAGGAAGCGAGTAGCAATCTCCTTCTTGCCATCCGTATCAGCCGCCTCGAGAAGGTAGATACTCTCGTACCACACATCGTGCCACTCAGAGGACCATAGCGAAATGTCCGGAATTGCCAAAGGCGAAGGATTGAGGACGACGAATCCGAGCTTGAATCGGACTCATCACCCGGCGGCTCGTTGAGGTCGTCTGCGTTGGCGGGGGTCGTGTCGTTCGTATTGGACTCATCACCCGGCGGCTCGTTGAGGTCGTGTGCGTCCGTGTTGGCGGGGGCCGTGTCGTTCGTAGTGATGGGGCTCACGGGAGTGATCTCATCTGCAAGGTCGTTGGGAGAGGGCGGTGTTGTTCTCAACGGAGTCACCAGTGGCTGCCTGGGAGTTCATGGTGTCGGCGGACCCATCGGCTTTCAACCTCCCCATTAGTTAGAGCCTGCATCGTAGTAGGTGTTGTGAGCCGCTTCTTCGGTGCTGCCAACCATGTCTGGAAAGCCTCCTGTGCTTGTTCACTCCATCCACCCTTGATTCCCGTAATGAAACTTAATGTGCGCTGAATGTAGCATACATGTGACTGGATTTGCTGCGACGTGATGGTCTTCTTGGATGCGTGGGTAACCAGGTCGCCGGACTTGATTTGCGCTAGAACATTCGCCACATCAGGCGGATTGGTAATGGATGACGAGGTCGGGCATTGCGAGGTAGAAGTGTTTGATGAGGATGCCGCTTCTGATCGAAAGGTTAGGTTCTTCAGCTTGAGCTTGCAAACACCCTGGCCAATCTCCAGGACGCCCACAACAGCTGCCGAACGCTTCATAGCGACTACGACAATAGGAACACACTAACGATACTTGGGTCACGAATTGCTGCGTACAGACACGCGCGGTGGACTGCGGTGGAGGTGGTGGTGGTGGTGAGGGGAGGGGGGGGGGTAGGGGTCCTGGGAAGTTGAGCTCATGTTGGAAGACCTCTCGCCCCCCCCCCCTACCTCCCCCGCCCCCTGTTTATGAACAAGCGCCTAGTTTATAAACAACTCTGAATCCAAACAAGTTAACTTCACAAAGAATCTCACAGAGAATCAGTACCAAAGGATATGTTTTCTGCAAACAAACAAAGCAGCCTGAACAACTATTCAAGAAGAAACCTTACAGATGAGAAGATACTGCCCTGGAGCCTGCTCGTCCCACAAAGATTATCATACTCTATGTAACATAGCTTGACTGCAAAAACGCAGGCCCCAGGACAGTCCATTCTGTTAAAATTAGGGTCCCTGTTTGGGTCCCAAATAGAATGCGGCACCCTTAAAGAAAGGACCTTAAACGGGACCCTAATCTAGAGAACTACCATTCCCAGAGTCGCTTAAGCCCGGTAGCCTCAAAGCGGACATCTCTAAACGGGTTTATGATCCGCCATGACTCGCTCTCTCTCTCTCTCTCTCTCTCTGTGTATATATATATATATATTATACACACACACACTTAGGACTTAGGCCTTAAACCCTAAACCCCAAATCGCAAAATCCCAAACCCCAAGCCCCAGACCCTAAATCCCTACAACACAAAATCCCAAAGCCCCCACGTCCCAAACCCAAAATCATACTCCGAAGCCCCCAAAAACCTAAGAAGGACCCTCAGACACCTACCCTAAACCCTAAACCCAAAAATCTAAGAAACCTCAGACACCTTGGAGTTGTAGCGTGCAAAGAGCGCCGCTGCGCTCTGGGGATCGGCTCGGAGCTTGGGGTAGCCCTCGAGGAAGCTGCGGAAGCGGCTGCTGCCTCCAGGGCTTCGGGCTCTTTATGGGGCTTGCGGGTTTTGGGGTTTTCGGGTTTTTTTTGGGCTTCTGGGTTTAGGGTTTAGGGTTCAAGGGCTATTGGTGGGGTTTGTGAGCTTCAGGGTCAGGGTGCTAAACGCTGGAGGTCTTTTGGATTGATTTAGGCTTGGAGTCACTACTCCGAGCTGGCCCGGGTTCTTTCGAAAGAAGTCTGAGCAGAGAGGAAGTTAAATTAAACTTCAACCCCGTCAGCGATTCTTCTAAACCCCAAACCGCTCAACCCTAAACCTCGCGTGTGTGTGGCCAGCGGTGTGATGGCGGCGGCGGCGGTGTGGGCGTGGGCATAGGACAGCCTAAACAGAGACGAGAACCCCACAGTGAATTGGAATAACAGTAATATTTTTATTATTAAGATTACTTTTACTTTAGGACTATTAGTAGATTTGTTGTTGGTATTCTCCTTTTGGCTGCTATTGTTCTTCTTCTTCTTGCGGGAGCTGACGCTCCAGGATTCGGTGCTCGTGCCGGAACGTTCGTCTACTGATGCTGACGATACTGGGGCTGGTGGTGGAATGTAGGGCAGCTGATGATCATGATGCTCGCTGATTCGTGGCTTGGTGCAACATGCTGCTCGTGCTGGAACGCGGCAGCTGATGCTCATGATGCTGTCTGTCTTCGGGCTTGTGGCGGAACATGCGGCAGCTGACGCCTATGATGCCGGATCGCTCGGGGCCTGCGCAGGAATGTCCGGTGGCTGATGATGAAGACCTGTGGCAGCTGATATTCATGATGCTCGCTGGTTTGCGGCTGGTGAGGCTGGTGGTGGAACGCGCGCCAGCTGATGCTCATGATGTTCGCCTGTTCGCAGACGTGGTGCTTGCGGTGGAACGTGCACAGCTGACGCTGATTTGGGGCTTCTTGTGGAACTTGCGGCGGGTTTGTGGCGGACATTGATTGATGAACAGATGCTGGCGGTTTCAGGCTTGTGGTGGAAGGCACGGCAGCTGATGCTCATGACTGGTTCTCGTGCTGAAACGTGCGGTAGCTGATGATGAACCGAAGCGTGATGCAGCTGGTGCTTATGCTGCTCGCTCGCCCGGGGCTGATGGTGGAAGGTGCGGCAGACGCCGGCTGGTTTCGGGCTTGTGGTGGAAGGCACAGCAAAAGATACTCATGATGCTCGCTTCGCTCGTGTCTGGGTGCAACATGCGGCGGCTGATGCTCATGATGCTCGCTGGTTTGTGGCTTGTGCTGGCACGTGCAGCAGCTGATGATTCAAGATGCTCGATGTGGCGGAACGTGCGGCGCGTGATGGCTGTCGGTTTAGTGTTGCGGGAACGCAGTTTATGAGAGTGATGCTCACTGTTTTGGCACACATGCTGGAATGTGTGGCAGCTGATGCTGATGATGCTCTCTGGTTTGAGGTTTCTGGCGAACCTTGCTGGAACACACGGCAACTGCTGCTCGTGATGCGGGCGGTTTCGGTGGAACGTGCGGTCGCTGATGGCCATGATTGGTTCTCGTGCCTCAAGGTGCGGCATCTGGGGCCTGTGGTAGAAGTGATGGTGAAGACCTGTGGCAGCTGATGCACATGATGCTCGCCTGTTTTGAGGCTCATGCTCGAACGTGCGGCAGCTGATGCTGATGATGCTCTCTGGTTTGGGGTTTCTGGCGGACCTTGGCAACTGCTGCTCGTGACGCTGGCGGTTTCGGGTGAACGTGTGGCCGCTGATGCTCATGACTGCTGATGACATGCAGCGGTTGATGCTTCTGATGCTCGCTCGCCTCGGGCTGGTGGGTGAAGGTGTGGCAGCTAATGATACTAGTGCTCATGATGTCGCATGGTTCCTGGCTTGTGACGGAAAGCACGACAAAAGAGGCCCGTGATGCTCGCTTCACTTGTTCCGGAGTGGAACATGCGGCAGCTGATGCTTATCATGCTCGATGGTTCGGGGATTGTGCTAGGAGTGACAATGAAAAGTTGTGGCAGCCGATGCTCATGATGCTCGCTGGTGCATGGCAGGTGGTCGGGGGTTTAGGGGCTGACAACAAGAGAGAGAGAGAGAGAGAGAGAGAGAGCGAGCGAGAGAGAGAGAGAGAGAGCGAGAGAGGGAGAGAGGGAG